GTAAAGAAATTATAAAAGATTGACCTTTATGTTGCTGCCAGCAGCAGCATCCTGAACTGTATTGCTAACTCTCATGATGTGAGTGACCTCACATTCTAACTTCTCTTGCCATTTTTTTCTGAATACTTATCCAAGTCCTTTTGTAACAGTAGTATCTTCTAAGAAAACAACAACTCCTTGTGAACTCAACGTCCTTGCAGTTTTCATCCTAAAGCCTTTGTGACCTCACTAGTCTCCTAGTCTCTCTCTCTCTCTCTCTCTCTCTCTCTCTCTCTCTCTCTCTCTCACACACACACACACACACACACACACACACACACACACACACAAAATTAGGACAGTTTCTTCTAAGCTCCAAGTTCGTACACATAGTTATTGGAGTCCTCATCATTTTAAAAGACATCCTTTAATATAAATAGAATTGATTTCATGATGACCTTTCCATAGGTCTGATTCACCTGGTATTTGATTCAGTACTCCTCTTCTTACAACATCTTCCAAATTTTCCTCTTCTGCTTTCATGTTGACTCTGGCTTCTGTGTAGTATTTTTATGATTCTTTTCTTTATCTCTGGTGTATGGATGTTGAGCTAATTGTACATTCTTAATCCTTACATAACTGGACTTGTAAGTATGGACTTGTACCTAATTCTGAGAATGTGGTCAGTTTTCTTCTGTTTTCTGTTTCTAGAACTCCATGTGGTTTGATATTTGGTTTCCTGACACAATGCTTCTCACATTCTCAAGGATTACATGAAAGGGATACTGAACTCACAGGACTGTTGAGTCATTAAAATTTGTATTTATAACAATTGTCCTCACAGTGCTGATACGACTAGTCCAATGAACAAATTTTGGTCTCAACTTCTGAAGGCTAGTTTTCTAATTGTTCTGTTTTTAATATCTAACCTTGATAGTTCTCTATTCCCTTTGATTGACCGTTCCTTAGATATCTGCTGAATGATATCTTTTCTGGCTGGCTTACATTTCACCTTATCAGTGAATTCTTCTGTAAAGATTCTGTCTAAAAAAGTACAAAAACAAACAAACAAAGAAGCTGACAATGGAAATAGGCAATGGGCACAAAAATGCATTGCAGTCTGCAAGCCCACACCTTCTCCTGTTTTTTCCCCAAGGGGCATTTGAAGTCCCAAATACTTTAGTTATCTGCCTAATATCAATCATTGCTGTCTCTCTCACTGGAATGTAAACTTTCTAAGGGTGGTTTTTGCTTCATTTTGTTCTCTAGTACATTCCCAGCTTCCATAATATTACTTGAAAAGTATAAAACATGCAATATTACACTTTACCTTTAGTAGAGTGTCATGTATTCACAAGATGACCTTGAAGCTCATGTAACTTGTGTAGCTTGTATAACTAAGAATTATTTTAACATTTTGTGTGTGAGAACATATCATTATATAGCCTTGGATGGCTATATACAATCTCATCTCACAGAATTCCGTCTGTTCCAGTGCTGCAATTAAAGGAGTATACCACCATGCCTATCTACTGGAGTTTTTATTTTTCTGCCTCAGTACCTCTTGAGAATACTGGGATTATATGTGCAATATATTTTACGTGATGTTGGGGATTGAACCCAGGGTTTGTGTATGCTAAGTAAACTCTCTACATCCTCAGCCTGGATGATCATTCTTGATTAACTTTTCCAATTTATTCTTTTTGTATTCATATTACTTCTCAAATTATCTAAATTGTATTTTAATAACTATGTACATTCTTGCTTTCTAAGTGAATTTTTTTCCAAGTTTGTATTTTTTTATTATGAATAAAATACATTGACCTTAAGGTTTGCCTTAGTTAACTATTTTTCTATTAGTGTGAAAAGACAAAGGCAACTTATGTTTTTTATAAAAATGGCACATTTATTGCTACAGAACAGTCATGTACATGACTTCATCAAGTAACTACAGGTGGGAACAGGTCATGGCAAAGGAAACTTATAAAAGAAAGAATTTAGCTGAGTTGCTTACAGTTTCAGAAGATAAGTCCATGACCATGATGACAAGAGCATAGCAGAAGGGAGGAGGTATGGCAGTGCTTACACTTTGAGATAATGACCAAGATGCAGCTTACAGAGTTCTTTCTCTTTCTGCTTTTATGAGTGTATGGATGCTCTAGCATACTGGATGGTACTATTTGAATTCAACTGAGTTTTCCCATCTCTGTTCATTCTCTTTGACTTCAGGGATACAAAAAGAGGTATGCCTTCCCCACTCCACGGTGAATATATACTGAGTTAACAATGAATGTTAACCATTGGTGCACACGAGTTAGTGTGGGAATCTTCCTAGTGGAATGTAGTAAATAGGAATACAACACCTTCAAGGAGAAGATGACCTCAGGCAAAGCCCCAGGCTCAGCTATAGGAAAGTTCGGTACATTCTGTTCTTCCTGGACTGTACTCACTCTTAACCAAAGGAACTGAGCTGGTGTTTGTTTTTTACTTTTGTACTGAATGAAGTGCAAATTGTTGTGCATTGACTGAAGGGCAGAGTGATTTGGGGAGTGGAGAGGAGTCTCTGAAATACTTACATCTCTCAGAATTGGCAAGGTGATGGTATTCCCCAGAGAGAGGGCTCTAAAGATGCTGAGAAGGAACCAAGTCTGTGGAAGCTAGAGAACAGAGCTGGTCTGTAAGCTGGCCCAGCCTAGAGATTTGTGCCGGCATCAGCTTTATCCCCAAATCAGCTGCTCACCTACAAATAAACAAGGAACGGCATTTATCATATTTACAAAGCATGTTGCTATTTTTGTCTGTTATTTCAGTTGCTCTTTGAGATGATTTTGCAATGAGTAAAGAACAATATTAATATTCTTTTTCAGAAAAGTCAGATAAAGACCAAGGATGATGGATTTTAAAATAGCCACACTCTAATTCTAGAGCTCATTCTAGTACTCTACATTTTATTTGAATTTTACCAATACTTTATATAGAACATGGGATACACATAAGCAGTATGTATTTAATTTAGAAATTCCAGGTTTGAAATTTGAAATTTAAGAGGGAATATAAGAAGTACACCTCTTCAGTTATAAAATCAAGTTTTTGTGTATGTAATTATATGTATTTAAACATGTATGTGCCTGTGTGTATATGTATATATGTATGTGTGTATGGGTACATATATGTATGTGAGTATATATACATATATATTGTATATGTATACATATATGTGTGTGTGTCTGCATGTATGTGTGTATTATATATATATATATGTGTGTGTGTGTGTGTGTACTTGCTCTACTTTGTAGCCTATGCTGGTCTTGAACTCACTATGTAGTCCAGGTTGCCCTCTGATTCCCTCTTTCAATCTTCCTAGCACAAGGATTGCAGGTATGAGGCACTATAATAGGCTCTAAGTGTATTTATTAATTATGTAAGATAAAATTTGAAGTAAGTAGCAAAGTCCACATTAAGATGTACTTTTGTTCAATTCCATTCATTTACTTAAAGTTAAAGCCCATGAAAAGTGGTGTTAAAATGGTCCTGGACTATTGATATGTATGGATTTATTATGAATGTTCTGGAGTTTGTCCATATTTTTCCCATATGGATATATTTGCATATAATGCTTATGACTCCTGTCATTTCTGTCAAAGTATGACTGTTACTTGTAGGAGGAGCTAAGGTGGGAGGAGTTAGGAGAGGAGGAGGAAAAGGAAGAGGAGGAGCTAGGAGAGAGAGAGAGAGAGAGAGAGAGAGAGAGAGAGAGAGAGAGAGAAAGGAGATGGAGGTGGATGTTCACGTGTTTGTAGCAGTCAAAGATAGTTGGTATATCTAGGTTGGGTATTGGGTTATACTTCTGATTGTATGGGTATCTTGTTACTGATCATTACCAAATATATAAACCTTTGATTAATCTTTAAGTAATAGAGTCTCATCTTTCTACTGGGCCCATGTGGATGGTGGGATAGTCTGGGCAATGCTCAGCCTTGCAGAGACACCATAGAAGATGGGCAGAGCCATCTCCCATGCTGGCATCTCGTGGGTAGCAGGGCTGGTGTTTCTGGCTGGCTGGTTCTAGCTGCTGTGTGCACAAGGTCTCCGGCCGAGAAACACGGTGGCTGAGCTAGGCCGAGCTGCTGCAGCTTAGATAGTCGGCATGACCAGCAGTCATCTATTAAATAATTATTACAACAATTACTCTACAAAATTATTATCAGTTATTGTTACTGTCTGGCATTGACATGGTATGCCCTCGTAGCTCACGTTTTGTTTGCATATAAAAATTCTTCTTTTCCTACTTTTCTTGCTAATGGCACCTTAGTGATGCACCTGTCCATGGCTTTGAAAAATTCAGAGAAGTTGAGAAAAAGAGTCTGCTGTATGGATTAATTTTGATTTAAAAAAAAATCTCATTGTTGTTTAATGTTTTGTTTTTGAATCGTTTATCGTATACATGGTCAGACATGGTTTAAAAGTTTAGTGGCAGCATGGCAGCCGCAAGCTAGCTCTGAAGCTCTGATGTGTACAAGTGTTCTGGCTCTGCTGCAAACCGAGAAATATGACTTGGATGGAGTAAAAGTTGGTATTCGTATGTCCTCTGAATTTAAACTTTCATTAGTGTCATCAATCTGATTGTATTTTAGCCTTGAGAAAGGGCGTAATGATAGTATGAAGCCAATATGATTAGCAAGAAAGTGACACAGATTTAGCATTTATGAACTTTTAACTGTTGAGACTAAGTTTATCTCTTTGGGGACACTGAAATAATTTTAGTTTTCATTCTAGTAGGAATCTTCAAATTAAAAAAAGTAGGTAAGATATGTTTCAAAAAAAACTTTTGTAAAAAAGGAATCACAAATGGTCAAATAATGTATTTTCCTATGGTATATACTAATTGAGTAACAGTTGTTCTCCTTAATTAAGATTTGGGTTTAAATTTTTGCCTGATTTTTTCATACACAAAGTAGGAGCTCCAGATGGTTCAATGATCAGCTTAGTAAAGTCTGTGTCTCATGGATGCTCATGTTCAGTTTCTTGGCAGTACTGAAGTGGAGCAGCCAAAGGGAACAGAAGTTGTGAGAGATGCTGTCAGGAAGCTGAAGGTAAGCCCTTTAGATAAGTGGCTAGTATAATGATCTTATGTCATGAACAAATTGATAGGCGCTAAAACATGGATAGCTGTTTAAATTACTTCTTAAATTAAAAGAGAATTTAGATTATCTTTAAATTACAATTAAATAAATACCACCTGTTAAGGGAGACATTTTGAATTATAAACATATTCATGCAATTATTTTGCCATACATACTATATTTTTCTGCAGTATAGTTTTTGACAGTAACTAAAGGACTTTAAGGCAGAACTCAGTCAATGTTTATAGTCAGTGATCTGCCTTTATATGTCCTGGAAAATAAGTACTCCATACTCCAAATCAAAACTGGTAGGAATATTATATATCTGACAATTAAGATATCATACCTAAAAAAAAATAAAAAAAATAAAATAAAAAAATAAATAAATAAAACAAAAAAATAAAAAATAAAAAAACAAAAAAATAAATAAATAAATTAAAAAAAAAAAGATATCATACCTACCAGTTGAAAATACAGTTAGTGTTCATTCCAAAGCAGAATATTTTTAGTCCTGCTATATATTAAGGATTCCCTAATGGGTCATATCAATGAGCAGTTTTAGGGGAACTTGTGTGACTAAGATAGCAGAAGACAATATTGATTAAACATCTCAAATATTCATGACTAATATATTTCTATATATACTCTATAGAGTAGAGTCTATGCAAGTCCCAAAACTCATATTCAGCAAGTTTCCTGAGAAACACTTACTACTACATGCCACAAACATGCTTAGGTAATAGCTCACTTCTCAAAAATCAGCCTCCCAGAGCAAACCTGGGACACTGGCTCTGCACCCACTCTTACAACACCCAGAGGTAGCCCTACTGCCAGGTGCTCTGAAATGTCCAGGATCACAGGACCACAGGATTACAGAGGAAGCTCAACTCTCAGGAGATCTGACACACCCAGGAACATGGGAGCTCTGACAAACTCAAGAACACAGTTGAGGCCACAACATCTTAACTAACAGCCAGCATAACTGGGAACATCACAGGAACCAGAGAAACACAAAACATGGACCACCTAACGACTGTAGATCTTTCACCTTGCACCTGTGGCCAAAGCAAACCCACAGCTCTGGCTCCACACCCACCTCCGCAACACCCAGAAAAAGTTTGAGTCCCTGTGTTGACACAACAGGGTCGCAGGAACTTGGCCACACTTTGATTTCAGGATCCCATAGGCAGCTTGACTCCCAGAAGCTCTGACACACCCAGGATTTCAGTATTACAGGATTACAGGATCCCAGAATCACAGGATCACAAAGACAGCTAGACTCTGAGGAGTTCTGACACAACTAAGGTTGTAGGTGAGACAGGTTCCAGTCAGAAGCAGGAAGGGCAGGCAGTGCTAGAGATAACCAGATGACACGAACCAAGCACAAGAGTATAAGCAACAGAAACCAAGTAACCAAGGCTACTTGGCATCATCAGAACCCAGTTCTCCCACCACAGCAAGTCCTGGATACCCCATCACACTAGAAAAGCAAGAATCAGGTTAGAAATCATTTCTCATGATGATGATAGAGAACTTTAAAAAGGACATAAATAATTCCCTTAAAGAAATACAATAGAACACAGCTAAACAGGTAGAAGCCCTTAAAGAGAAAATACAAAATTCCTTAAAGAATTATAGAAAAACACAATAAAAGAGATGAAGAAATTGAACAAAACCATCCAAGATCTAAATTGGAAAGAGAAACAATAAAGAAATCACAAAGGGAGACAACCCTGGAAATAGAAAACCTAGGAAAGAGATCAGGAGTCATAGATGCAACAATCACCAACAGAATACAAGAGATAGAAGAGAAAATCTCAGGTGCAGAAGATACCATAGAAAGTACTGACACAACAGTCAAAGAAAATGCAAATGCAGAAAACTGCTAACCCAAAACATCCAGGAAATCCAGGACACAGTGAGAAGACCAAACCTAAGGAAAATGAGTATAGAAGAAAATAAAGATACCCAACTAAAATAGCCAATAAATATCTACAACAAAGTTATAGAAGAAAACTTTCCTAACCTAAAGAAAGAGATGCCCATGAACTACAAGAAGCCCACAATAGAACTCCAAATAGATTAGACCAGAAAAGAAATTCCTACTGTCATATAATAATCAAAACACCAAATGCACAAAACAAAGAAAGAATATTTAAAAACAATAAGGGAAAAGGTCAAGTAAAGGCTGAGATATCAGAATTATACCTGACTTTTCACCAGAGACTAAATGCCAGAAGACGGACACTAAGAGAAAACAAATGCTAGCCCAGGCTATTATACCCAGCAAAAATTTCAATTAATATAGATGGGAAAACTAAAATATTTCATGACAAAAACAAATTTACACAAAATCTGTCCACAAATCCAGGCATACAAAAGATAATAGATGGAAAATTCCAACACAAGGAGAGAAACTACAACAGGAAAAGCAAGAAAGTAATCTTCTTTTAAGAAACCCAAAAGAAATAGCCACAATGAAACTAATTCTACCTCTAACAACAAAAATAACAGGAAACAACAATCACTTTCGTAATATCACTTAACATCAATGGACTCAATTTCCCAATTAAAAATCATAGACTAAGAGACTGGATACTTAAACAGGACCCAGCATTTTGCTGCATACAGAAAACACACCTCAGTGAGAAAAACAGACACTACCTCAGAGAAAAACCAAGGAAATGGTCCCAAGAAATAAACTGGAGTAGCCATTCTAAATTAGAATAAAATCTACTTTCAACCAAAAGTTATCAAAAAAGATAAGGAAGAACACTTCATACTCATTAAAGTAAAAATCTACCAAAATGAACTCTCAAATCTTTTTTCTTTTTTCATTTTTGGTTTTTAGAGACACGGTTTCTCTGTGCAGCCCTGGGTGTCCTGGAACTCACTCTGTAGACCAGGCTGGCCTCGAACTCAGAAATCCTCCTGCCTCTGCCTCCCAAGTGCTGGGATTAAAGGCGTGCGACACCACTGCCCGGCAAACTATTTATTTTTATCTTATGTGCATTGGTGTTTTGTCTGCATATTTCTGTATGAGTGTTTCAGATTACCTGGAATAGAAGTTATAGACAATTGTGAGCTGCCACATGGGTGCTGGGAGTTGAACTCGGGTCCTCTGGAATAGCAGTCACTAGCTCTTAACCACTGAGCCATCTCTCCAGCTCTTAATATCTATACTCCAAATGCCAGGGCACCCACATTCATAAAAGAAACTTTACTAAAGCTCAAAGCACACATTGCATCTCACACAATAATAGTGGGAGACTTCAACACCCCACTCTCATCAATGGATAGATCATGGAAACAGAAACTAAACACAGATGCAGTGAAATTAACAGAAGTTATGAACCAAATGGATTTAACAGATATCTATTGAACATTTCATCCTAAAACAAAAGAATATACCTTTTTCTTAGCACCTCATAGTACCTTTTCCAAAATTGACCATATAATTGGTCACAAAACAGGACTCAACAGATACAAGAAAATTGAAATAATCACCTGCTTCTTATCAGATTGCCACAGATCAAGGCTGATCTTCAATAACAACAAAAACAACAAAAAGCCCACATACACATGGAAGCTGAACAATGCTCTACTAAATGATAACTTGGTGAAGAATGAAATAAAGAAAAAAATTAAAGACTTTTTAGAATTTAATGAAAATGAAGGCACATCATCCCTAAATTTATGAGACACAATGAAAGCAATGCTAGAGGAAAACTCATAGCTCTAAGTGCCTCCAAAAACAAACTGGAGAATGCATATACAAGCAACTTGACAGCATACCTGAAAGCTCTAGAATAAAAAGAAGCAAATACACCCAAGAAAAGTGGACAGCAGTAAATAATCAATCTTAGGGCTAAAATCAACCAAGTAGAAACACAAAGAACTATACAAAGAATCAACCAGGAGCTGGTTCTTTGAAAAAATCAACAACAACAACAAAAAACTCTTTTTCTTTGAAAAAATCAACAACAACAACAACAACAACAACAACAACAACAAAACCCTTAGCTAGAAAAACCAGAAGGCACAGAGGTAGTATCAAGTTACCAAAATCAGAAATGAAAAGGGAGGCATAACAACAAAAACTGAGGAAATTAAAAAAAAAAAAAAAATCAGATCCTACTACAAAAGCCTATACTCAATAAAACTGAAAAATCTATATGAAATCAATGATTTTCTAGACAGATACCAGATACCAAAGTTAAATAAGGATCAGTTAAACTATCTAAACAGTCCCATAACCCCCAAAGAAATAGAAGCAGTCATTAAAAGTTCCCCTCCCAAAAAAAAGCCAAGGACTAGATGGATTCAGTACAGAATTCTATCAGACCTTGAAAGAAGACCTGACACCAATACTCAATACTCAAACTCTTTCACAAAGCAGAAATAGAAGGAATGCTACCCAGATTGTTCTATGAAGCCACAGTTATACTGATACCTAAACCACCCAAAGACACAAGAAAGAAAGAGAAGTTCAGATCAATTTCCCTTATGAATATTGATGCAAAAATACTCAATAAAATTCTTGCAATCTGAATCCAAGAACACATCAAAACAATCATCCGTCATGATCAAGTAGGCTTCATCCCAGTGATGTAGGGATGGTTAAATACAGGGAAATCCATCAATGTAATACACTATATAAACAAACTCAAAGGGGGAAGCAAACATATGATCCTCTAATTAGATGCTGAAAAGGTATTTGACAAAATTCAGCATCCCTACATGTTAAAAGTCTTGGAAAGATCAGGATTTCAAGGCCCATACCTAAACATAGTAAAAGCAATATACAGCGAATCACTAGCCAACATCAAACTAAATGGAAGGAAGACGTTCATCACTGGGCGGGGGAGGGGGGTCCAGAAAAAAATTAAAACTGAATGTAAGCTGTTTCTGCCCCTAGACTGTTTAATTACATCTTTTCAAACTATAACAACAATAAATGCTACTAATAT